TAAAACATTTTCGTTACTGAAATAAAATAAAATAAAAAATATATTAAAAATATTATTTTAGCTATTTGCAAAGGCAACATTTCTCATTTTAATTTAGTTAAATTTGATGTTTTAAAGTAACTAAAACTAAAAATGAAATTGATAAAAAATAATAAAAACATATATAAAAACAAAAACTACTAAAAATGACAAAAATACAACAAATTAACAAAAATTGTTACTAAAATTAAATGCAAACAAAAATACTAAATATTAATAAAAACTATAATAGTATCTTATAGTATAATCATTTGTATTATTGTTAATTTTTGTACATTACACTGAAAATGTAAATGCTAGGAAACAGTTTTCACTCAGAAATTGCTAGTAAATTAAAAAAATAATTATTAAAAAATGGCAAGCAACACATTGAATTAAATGTGACATTTTGATGTAGGAAGAAAATGTTTTGTTTTATTTACAAATTCAAAAAAAATATTTTTTATAGTGTACGGCCATTCTTTCTCTAATTTTAAGCCTAAAATGTAACCAAATAATGAGATTTATGCTTAGAACAAGCAGTTTGGCTCCTTGAGTAAAAATAATATTTAGAATGTTTTTATCGGAAAGCAAGACCAAATACTAATTATGAACATGATTTTTGCAATGCATTAAGTGTTAAAGTGGCTCTGTTCCAAATCCCAGTGAGCTGCCTACATAGACAACACTTTAAAGACATCATTCCAGGTGCATTCCAGATGTGAGGACTGTTTCAAAACGTAGACAGCAACATTATTTTGTCTCATTTTACAAATCTAAAGCAGCATGACATGCGTCCTTCATCACTAAAGCAATCAGAATGCACCGTGAAAAGATCAAAATGATTCAATATGGTGGACGACTGTTAGAAAAATGTTGATTATCAATATGTGACCCTGGACCACAAAACCAGTCATAAGGGTCCATTTTTCAAAATTGAGATTTATACATCATCTCAAAGCTGAATAAATAATCTTTCCATTGATGTATGGTTTGTTAGGATCGGACAATATTTGGCCGAGATACAACTATTTGAAAATCTGGAATCTGAGTGTGCAAAAAAATCAAAATATTGAAAAAAAATCACCTTTAAAGTTGTTCAAATGAAGTCCTTAGCAATGCATATTACTAATCAAAAATTAAGTTTTGATATATTTACAGTAGGAAATTTACTAAATATCTTCATGGAACATGATCTTTACTTAATATCCTAATGATTTTTGGCATAAAAGAAAAATCAATAATTTTGACCCATACAATGTATTTGTTGGCTATTGCTACAAATATACCCCAGAGACTTAACGCTGCTTTTGTGCTCCAGGCTCACATATGCTGGGAAGTAAAACAGTTCAGTCTAATCAAAAGCGGAGTGTTTTACCCATTGCTTGTGTGTTTATGGGACATTTATGCATATTAGAGCATTGCATCATTAGCTGAGCAACAGTCGAGTCTCTCTAATGGACTTTTGAAAGAGATGCAAGGTAAAGTTAGCAGCTTCAGCAACAGACAAACCAGCTTCTGTCGGAAACAAAAAGGCCTGCTTCATCGGTTCACAGAAATCCACTAGTTTTAGAAAAGAAACAGAGCTTGAGCGAGCAAACAAAGAGAGGGCAGACAGAAAGGGACATCTTACTGGATACACAGAAGGAAAATGTTGTGTTAGTTGATGCAGCCAATTAATTATATTGCAAGCCATTTAGAAATCTATAAAAGAAGCATAAAGGGGTTGAGGCTGTTTGAGAAAGTGTAAGTATGGTATTAAAAAATGCAATACGTGTATTTCAACCGCTCTGGGCGTTGTTACGTTGGAGTCTTTTTTAAAAGGGAAACGCTGTGTCTTAAAAAGGAGAAACCTTTAAATTATGCATTTCATTTTCCAGCCTCTCTTTTCTTCTCGCTCTTGTGTTTTGTTTTTGAGGGAGTGAAAATATGGCTGCACATGAAAAGGCGTTTTTTGCACGTTTTGCTCGACCCTGAGGGGGCGCTGGTGAGGTGTGTGTAGTAAAGTGTGTTTGAAATACAGGTTGAGCCTCGTTTCCATTAATAGATCATCAGCTTTAACATGCATAAGAGGTATGATGATATGTGACCCTGGAGCACAAAAGCCATCTTAAGTCGCTGGGGTATATTTGTAGCAATAGCCAAAAATACATTGTATGGGTCAAAATTATAGATTTTTCTTTTATGCCAAAAATCATTAGGATATTAAGTAAAGATCATGTTCCATGAAGATATTTTGTAAATTTCGTACTGTAAATATATCAAAACTTAATTTTTGATTAGTAATATGCATTGCTAAGAACTTCATTTGGACAACTTTAAAGGCGATTTTCTCAATATTTTGATTTCTTTGCACCCTCAGATTCCAGATTTTCAAATATTGTCTGATCATAACAAACCATACATCAATGGAAAGATTATTTATTCAGCTTTCAGATTATGTATAAATCTCAATTTTGAAAAATTGACACTTAAGACTGGTTTTGTGGTCCAGGGTCACATATATATCATGCAACTCTGGAACTAGAAATCGGTCAAGTGTCTGAGAACCAAATAAAATATCACCTTTAGAGATCTTATATACATTCTATCAATCAAAGACAGACACTGAAAACAAAGCAAGACACAGTGCAACATTTACATTTATGAATTTAGCAGATGCTTTTATCCAACACGACTTGCGTTGCAATGGTCAGAGACATCTGTTTGACAAATGTCTACATAGTCCAACCATTAAAAATAATGCAACGTGTGCAGAAGCCAAAGTAAACAACTCCACGTGCCACACACATTTCATTACTCACATGAAACTGTCCAATAGTCTGACAATAACATGCTGCAGAGCTAATGATATGATACTCTCATCAGCTCAAAAAAATACATCATGCACATACAAATATTGGGTAAATAGTTTGCTTTATATTTGATTAGAGTACTTTTCAGAATCGAATGAAATATATTTATAGTTAAAGGTCCCTTATAGTCTCATCACTCCATCCACTTTCTGAGCAGCAATGCATTCTGGGATTGCCTCACCCATGCATGCAAGATACATTACTGCTCAAAGGTTTGGGGTCTTTTTTTTTTTTTTAAGAAATTAATTCATTTTATTCAGCAAATATTTAGCCATATTTTATTTATTTTAATTGTATTATTTATTTATTCTTTAGCTGGCTCATACACTTATGTTCAAAAGTTTGGAATCAATAATTTTTTTTATGAAAGAAATACTTTTATTTGGCAAAGATGTATTAAATTGCTCAAAATTACAGTAATATTACAAATAATTTCTATTTCAGCTGTTCTTTTGAACTTTCTATTCATCTGTGAATCCTGAAAAATTATGGTTTCCACAGAAATATTGGGCAGCAGAACTGTTTTCAACATTGATAATAATCAGAAATGTTTCTTGAGCAGCAAAGCAGCATATTAGAATGATTTCTGAAGATCATGTGACACTGAAGACTGGAGGAATGATGCTGAAAATACAGCTGCGCATCACAGAAATAAATTACATGTTAACAGATATTCACATAGAAAATAGCTGTTTTAAATTATAATAATATTTCACATTTTTTACTGTATTTTTAAATAAATAAATGCAGCCTTGGTGATTTTGGTTAAATGAAACATTTTGTTAATGCCAAAAAAAAAAGCTCTCCAGATAGGGTTTGGAACAGAGACACTTTTTAGTTTAATAATCATGTTGTTAAACATTTAGACAGTTTGACAAACTATTATTTATTTCAGCATTTATGCTGTTTTTTAAACACGGCCCATATTAAACAAACACGCCTCCACTGAGCAGATGAAAGGTGATAGCGTGATGTTAAACATGCAGAGCTGAATGAAATTACCCGTGCGATGTCTCAGACAGATAAGAGCAGCGCCATCAGCGACTGCAAACCAGCGAATGGCATTACCTGCACCGAGTTCAGTCTGCAGTAGCCGTTCAGGGGGAAGCGGATGACGTGGGTCGGGTCCTGGTTCCAGCCAGCGTTGACCGAGTTACACATGACGTCACCGGTCTCGGGGAAGATCTCCTCGATGAGCACCTTCTCCCCGCTGAGGGCGATCCGCTCGCCGAGGTCAGGGGTCACGCGAACCACCAGGCAGTCGCAGGGCTGCGCCAGACGCCTCTGCTCCCGCTCCTGCTTCCACCGCTCCAGCTCCTTGATCATCGGGGTCAGCTGGTAATAACGCGCCTCCTCGTACAGGAGACTGAAGTCCTGAACAGACAGACAGATGGATGGATGCTTTATCAAACTGATCAAAAGTGACAGTAAAGGCATTTATAATGTTACAAAGGATTTCCGTTTCAGATAAATGCTGTTCTTCTGAACTTTTTGTTCATCAAAGAAGCCTGAAAAAATTCTACTCCGCTGTTTTCAACATTGATAATAATCAGAAATGTTTCTTGAGCAGCAAATCAGCATATTAGAATGATTTCTGAAGATCATGTGACACTGAAGACTGGAGGAATGATGCTGAAAATTCAGCTGCGCATCACAAAAATAAATTGCATTTTAAAAGATATTCACATAGAAAACAGCTATTTCAAATTATAATAATATTTCACAGTTTTTACTGTATTTTTAATCAAATAAATGCAGCCTTGGTGAGCAAAAGAGACTTCTTTTAAAAACCTTTAAAAATCTTATCAACCCCAAACTTTTAAATTGAAGTGTAAATATATTAAAATGCATTTTTTTATTTATTTATTTTTTTTTAAGATTTTTTAAGCATAAACCTAATAACACACTGAAAAAAATTTCATTCATCCAATTAAAAAAATTTAGGGTAATGATTCACATCTATATTTTTTAACTTGAGCCAATGATAACAAAATAACTTGCCCTAAGTTATATTAAAAAAATATATAGATGTGAATCATTACCCTACATTTTTTTAATTGGATGAATGAAACATTTCTTTCAGTGCAGTTTGCTTGATTTATACTTCAAACAACTGAAAAAATGTCAAGGGGAGAAAAAAAAAACTAATGCATGAAAAACTTGCATGAAGCATAAATGACAACAGCATCAAAAATTAAATACACTCAATTGCAGGTCATAGAATAAATCTCAGCGCTAAAACCCTCTGGTTAATCAGATCGGATCCTGTAATGTAGATCCTGTACTTCTTTCAGCGCTAGAAATGTGATGGACAGTCTTTCGAATTTTGGTAGAAATAATAAACCAGTTCACAAACCATGAAACCAACAAAGAGTGAAGATAACCTATTCAGATCGCATCCATAAAACGAACAATAAATAATATGCATAAAATGCATTCAAATCTTACAGTTTTAGGTCTTTTTAATGTACAATAAACATATACTAGATGTGCACACTTTTCTTAATTTTGTTACATTTTTCAGAAAACAAGACTTAATATCTTATGTAATTTTACTTTTTAAATAAATGCACTTGATTTAAGAATGTTTAGATATTTATACAGGAAAATAAGAAAAAAAGCATTTAAAATGCATGCAATATAAGTTTTAAAAATATATTTTAGATCGTTTGAAAACATTGTAAGTGGACATTATGAGGGGAAAAATATTAACAAATACATATAACTTTGGCCTGGACACATTTCTAACCTCAATACGTGGATATCGCTCTTTTTTTGCCCATGTATAGATGTTTACACTTTCTAAAATTAAAATAAGAGTGGTGTTTCCCCATGCAAAATTGCAGGACACGTTGCACGCTGAAGATTAATACTTAATGAGATAGTGATGCTATTACTGCAAAAGCTGCTAACAAAGCAACAAAACAAATAAATACATAAATAAAAGCCAATAAGTGAACGAATCTTTAAAAAGCAGTGCGACTGGGGTGCAGGGTGGCATGTTTAGCTCTGAGGGGTATCAGCGCCGCCCGCGGGGCAACAGTCAAGACGTTTGGCAGGATCTCATGCTCGTTGAATCCCGTCAGTGACGGAGCTCCAGGCTTCAGCGTTTCTTTATCCAGGCAGACAACAGCAGACTGCCAAACGCTCGCTCTCTTCCTCTCGGGGATGTCTTGCCAGGGGTTTTTTGCCCCTTTCAGTTTTCCCTTAATTTCCCACAAGTCCAGATGGTACTATTCTTCCTCGACTCTCCATCACGGAGCGGGAGGAGCCGAGGTGTGCAAGAGGGAGGACAATGTTGGAGTTCAACTGAGGATACGGCTTTGTGTTCAACGTCTGCAGAGTAATCTGCATGAAGATTGATATGAACAGTCATGAAGTGCACACAGCTGGAATGGTAACTAAACTACGTGACTTATTGTACACGCGGCTTCTCTGCGTTTTGCTGCAGAAAACAGACAGAGAAGGATCAACCGTACGACACAGACTGTATTAAACTACATTATCGCACAGCTCTGTGAGTTGTACATAATTAGTATATTCAACTTGATCCACCTATATGCAATATACTCAAGTTATATATACTCTATAGCTGCTTGATTGTTTATATTGTTGCAAAATGTAACTGGGTCAAAGACGTTAAGATGTCCGCATCAAAAGAAATTTACAAAAGTGATTTTATGTCCACAGAAAGCACATTAAATATAAGTAAAGTGTCTATTTTAAGGTTTCAAATAAGTTTTTGGAGAATAAAATGTCAAAATTTGGTTGAAATAATGTTACATTGTCATTCAGTGTAATACAATATTTATGTAAAAATTCAAACAACATGCTTATTCTGACGTGTACATATTAAAATATATAAAAGAATAAGGGAGCATGTTAAATTTGATTGTTTTAAATGAGTAAAAATTTCTTACCGAGTGACAAATGGGCAAAACCTAGGACAGTGGCAAATTTAAAAAATGTCAAATTACAACTAATTAGTATTTGGGGTGAAAGTAATTAGTCTTTTAATATATCATAAATTGATTTTTGTTGTAAATATGCCTGACAAGATTGTTACACTGAATGACATTTTAGTGGGTCACTTCTGTAAATCAGAGAAAAATTTATGATATTTATTTTTTTGCTCAGAAAAACAAAAACAAAATTGCAATTAAATTAAACAGATTTTTTTTTACATTTTTTTGGGCAAAACAACAACAAGTTAAAGCAGCATTACACTTATTGTTTTTATGCTTAAACCCTTTTTCGTCTTTGACCCAATCATATTTTTGCCTAGCTCTAATTTGACAATAAGGCATGAAGGTATTAAGATATTATAAACATTAACATAATGATTTCCTGTAAAGCTGCTTTTAAACAATGTGTATTGTGAACGTGATATACAAATAAAATTTACATGATAATGTATGTAATATAATTTATTTTAATTAATATTTAATTAACATAAAACACATTGCACATTTCTGCACAAAAACACTGTAAAAAATGATTTTCTTAGTATTGTTTTCCTGTACAAATATCTAGGCAATCTTAATTCAAAATATTAATTTTGAGAATTTGTCTTATTTTGTGAAAAAGGTATCAAAATTAAGTGAGTTTACACTTAAAACAAGACAAAAAAAATCTTCCAACCGGGCTAGAAAAATAAACGTGTTTTCCCTTTGAATCAAGCTTATTTTTCTGTTTTAAACTCACTTAATTTTTTATTTATTTAATTAAATATTTTAATTTTTTATGACAAAGCGAGACTTAATATCTTATGTAATTTAACTTTTTAAGCAAATGTAGACATTTACTGGAAAACAAGACAAAAATACTGAGGAAGAAAATCATTTTTTTTGCAGAAAATATGTTTAAAATACATGCAGTTATAAATATACATTTACAAAATAATTATTTTTAACTAATAATATACTGTTTTTAATTGGCAATAAATATATACTGAATGTTTACACTTTTCTTACTTTCGCTACATTTTTCAGAAAACACTTAAGTAAATGCATCTTGATTTAAGAGTATTTAGATATTTGCACTGAAAACGAGAGAAAATACTTTTGCCCTTCACAGTGCAGATGACAAAATGCATGCGATGCATCAGCGCTGGAGGGAACAGTGAGGTTTTAAAAGACGCGCCTGGGTCTCTGTTTTTAACAGGACTCGTTCTCTAAAGCTCCTCTTGTAGTCTAGCTTCATGCAACATGTCGAAGAGCCTGATACAAGAGAGGTGAAGAAAGAAACCGAGCCCAACAAGAGCAGATAGAAAGACAGACGATACGCTAGCCTGAAATCCCATGTTCAGGCGATCATCCGACAGGCCTGTTGTGATCCAAAATAATGATCTTTCTCTGTTGCCCACCGGCAAGACAACATCTCTCAGACAGACAGAGAGAGAGAGAGAGGCAGAGATATTCCCCCGTCTCCATCTAATACGTACTGTATAAGAGATGACCATTTCTCTTTGATTTTGTCAAACACATGCTGATGTAGAGGTCAGATCCTATGTGACAAACCTTGGAATCAAATCCGACTCTGTCTTACTCACTGGATTTATTATGAACGAACCATCAGTGCATGTTATTCTAAAAACAAAAGATTGTTCATTAAAATGCTCCCAGTGGTCACAAAACTTTGAGAAATGACATTAAAAGTCGAACGGCAGCTTTTATTTATTCAAGCAGCTTAGCAACTGATAATCTCTGGTACAAATGATGCTTTTTCCATTGAGAGATGCAAAACATATTCCGCTTTAGCTCCACGTTCACATTGATTTAGCCAAACGAACGCCACCACGGGTCATGACAGTCACGATGCCTCACAGATAAAGACACGCTTAACACCGCCGGCTGCCGTTGCATTTCTGTCTGATTTCCCACACGCTGATCAGCAGATCAAACCAGTCTAAACTGGGCTCTTTGTCCGACTCGAGAGAGGAAAACAAAGTGAATCCAGATCAAGATTAAAAGATGTAAAAGTAGAGTTTATTCATGAGGATAAATCAGCCGTAAATATAGATTTTATTAAAACATAATTGAATAATTGAATATTAATATAAGTAGTAAGTAATTTGTCTATCCATGGTGACAGTCAAAATACTGTGCAATGTGGCACGATCACAGCCAATCAGAACAGATTTCATGCTTAATATTTATCTATGTGGATTTTCGGCCAATAATATTGCACTATGGGCGGAGCTACCAAATACAACAGAAATAAAAATCGAACGACCAACAATATGTCCTGACATTCACTGCTTGTCATGATTGCATCTGATTAACACACAAACTCATGAAAGAGCTGCTATTACTAGTCATTTTATCATGTTTTTTTCTGGTTCTGTGCATTATTGCATCTTGAAATGCATCAGACTTCAATTTGCAATGCACTGCATTCTCAGTATTGCCACAAGGGGAGCTACAGCAGACGTTAGTGTAAAGTGTCTTTTTCTACTGTCAGTTTTTTTCATTCAGCTCAACTATCCACCAACCAAAATAACAGTACCTTGAAGTAGGGCTGCACAATTAATCGAATTTCTAATCGCGATTACAATTACGGATGCCACAATTACGTAATCGTTCAAAGCGGCAATTAATCGTTCAAAGTCCACTTATGTTATTCTGTGTGCTTAAGATTTCTTTTTTCTTTCTACATGTTATCTTAAGGGTTTTCCCATTGTTTTAATTTTAGTTTTAGTATAACAAAAAAATTTAAATTATAATCGACAATTATGATTTTTGTCATAATCGTGCAGCCCTACTTTGAAGAAAGAAAAATGGCAAATGCAATCTCTTTAATATCTTAGTTCTTTCTCTCGGACAGCAATGAGATTTAATGGAGATCAAACGGTGGAATATATATTGTATCTAACAATGCAATGCAATCACTTCGGTCTCCCAAGTCCAGCGCAAAGAATGAAATCTAAAACTGGATTAAAAAAATCCCAAATTCGAAATAATCTATTTATTTCTAAAATGATAACGGGATGCTAATTGCCAAATTAACATAATGCAACGAGCAGGGTTATTACAGTTAACTAAAACTAAAGCCATGAATTTTATTATATATTTTGTTACTTGAAATAAAATAAATGATAATTAAAATAAATTAAAATATTAAAACTTAAAATGATTTTGTTTCGGATAGTTGTCAGGCAATATTTCCCACTTTCATTTAGTTTAACTTGATGTACTAAAATAACTAAAAAAATTTAAAAAAATAATAAAAACTATATAGAAATATTTAAATATATTATAGATAATATATCAAATATATGTAGTGAGAAATATTTAAAATAAAAATAACAAAAACACACAACAAAATTACTAAAACTAACATTAAAATTAAAACATTAAACATAAAAATAAAAACATTTAACATATAAACAAAAACTAAATATGATACTAAAATAACAATTTAACTTGCTGTATTAAAATAACTAAAATTAAAATGGAAATAAAAATGAATAAAAACTATCTAGACGCATTAAAAAAGAAACAACTAATAAAAATGACAAAAAAACGACAAAATTACTAAAACTTTAACTAAAATTTAAACAAAAATGTAAAAATAAAAACTAATTCAAAATATTGATAAAAACTGTAAAATAACACTGATTTTAACTTGGTGTTCTAAAATAACTAAAACTAAAACAAAAATGAACAAAAACTATATAGACACATTAAAAAAACAAAATTACTAAAACTTTAACTAAAATTTAAATGAAAATAGAAAACTGAAAAAAACTAATTCAAAATATTAATGAAAACTATAACAGTATCCGAAAGATACTAAAATAACACTGGCAATGAAGTCATGTGACAATAATGCAGCATTTATCATTGCATACTGCATACTGTTTCACATACTATTTTTTCGCAGTATACAGTGTTTACTGTAGTACAGTACATGTGCACACTACATTCTATTCCAAACAGCCACTGAATCAGAAGCTTCAGACAGCATTACGCTGTTACCTTAAAGTCATCCGGCAGCAACAGTTTGCAGGTTCGCAGGAAACTGAGAATGTAGCGGAATATCTCTCCGTCCCTGTCGATGAAGTAATGCTGCTTTAAACTGTCCAGAACAATGGGCTCGGTTCCGTTAAACAGCCTGCTGATCCTGAAAATTAAAACACACACACACACACACACACAGTTAATGGAGTGAGGCCAGCCTCCTTTAAATGCATGAAACAATTAGCATTTATTTTTCAATTTTATTAGTGGCCGGCCAAAAAGGCATTAACGCTCGCTTCTGAAACAAGAGGCTTTAGGCGGATTCGAGTGGCTGAGAAAAGCATTTCAAGTCCTTCTCTGCTGTGAGATGAATACAGCGCTGGAAAGCCTTCACCACAGCTTCATCATCTTCACCAGTCACATGCCAATTAATAACTCCCACATAATATCATGATGTCAGAAAGCAGGACAGTCGTATAAAAGCCTGCAGATGATCTGCATATGTAAACTAGACAGTCACTATGCAGTTGAAAGTTTCCTGTGCAACAAAACATGAGGATAAAACTGTTTACTGATCAGTTCAAAGTCCAACAACTTCTTGTGATCTGGAATAAGGCCTGTTTTAATTATTGACCGATCGCAACATCTGTATGAAGTGAACTTGAAGGAGAAAAAGAGAACAAGAGAAATAGAGAAAGATAGAGAGATCTAGATCCTCTCTTTGCACTCTTGTACTTTTCTTATAGCCTCCGCTAAGCAACTTTACAACACACACACACAAAAAAATCGTAATGTATTTTATGCAAATGTCATTTATTTGAACGATAGATAGCAAAAGCACACCGAAAGCAAAATCATTTAAAAAAAAGAACCATTTTGGAAACATTTCAGTGACCAGTTCTTACAATAACCAATTTTTCTTAATCTGAAGAACTTTTTTCACTATAAAGTATCTTTTGTGGATGTTAAATGTTCTTCGTGGAACCATTGATGCCTTTCTTTTTAAGCAAGTTCGAGAAGATAAAACAACAGATCAGTGCTTGTCCAGCATTAGTGGAACAGGACCATCATTTGGCTCCTGCAGCATTTGCTTTGATATTTTTTTAATCTAATTTAAAGTGTGACTAAAGTGTCGAGACCAGATACTTTCTGAACTTACCAACCATCACTATTTTGGTCAAATTTGCATTGCATGTATCCTCAATGAAGAACAATCAGTGAAAAGATACATGCAAGATGGCAGGTGAGGTGAGAAATGTTGATTCTAAATAAACTTTAATTTCTTTGTGAACTGAAAAATACTGATAGAATTGTTTTTGGTGATGAAAAATTGAATATTTTACCCAATATCTCCATGTGCTGTGTATTTTGATGCTTATTATTAGAATACAGTAAAAAATGTCACTTGTGAGGTTCCATGATAGTTGGGATGCTCCCTATGTAGGCAGCTCACTAGGTTTTGGAACGGAGCAAGCACTCCCAGTACACTATAATACATTCTTCAAGTAATCTACTAACTTTATTTATTTATTTATTTTTCTTTTACATATTTTTGTACTTTTTGAGAAAAAGCCGGTTTTGGAAAACTTGGCCTAACACAACAAAAAAAGTAAACAAAAATGTATATATATTTTTATTTTATACTTATTTTGATGCCTATTATAGTACAATAAAAAAGTATATTTTTAATTGTAAAAATATATATTTTTTGTTTTTATAATTACAGAGTTAACTTCAAAAGTCAATACATTTTTTTTTTTATTTTATACTTATTCCCTATGTAGGCTGCTCACTAGGTTTTAAAACAGAGTTTGTGTCCATCACTAGACAAAAAGTGCAAACATTTCAAACACATGATAATACTTTTTATTTTTTTTCTTTCATTTTTTTGAGAAAAAGCTGGATTTGGAAAACGTGGCCTAACTCAAGAAGTTAGCTAGCTGTCTGTTAACTCTGAAATCATAAGAATAAAACAAGATATTTTGAATTTTAAAAAATATTTTTTATTTGTATAATTTTACCGTTAAACGCAATCATAAAAATATATTTGTTAAATTATTAAAAAAACGTTTTATTTTTTTATTTTATGCTTATTTTGATGCTTACTAAAGTACAATCATAAAATCAAATCAGTCACTTGTGAGGTTCCATGATAGTTGGGATGCTCCCTATGTAGGCAGCTCACTAGGTTTTGGAACAGAGTTTGTGTCCATCACTAGACAAAAAGTGCAGATGTCTCTAATACATTCTTCCACTAATCTACTAATTCTAAAACGTCAGATTCTAACGTCTCATAACCGTTTACAGTGCATGATACACAACATTTCAATGCTAAAACTATTATTCAGCACAAGTGCCTTATTCAGCGTCCTTAAACACAGGATACCTGGAAATACCTTCATCTTTCTGCGTGTACTTCAGCTCTCTTTATGAACTCTGATACGATCAGCATTTCCTTCCGCTCCTAGCCGAGAGACAGCGCTATCGCCGCTCCAGTGCAATCTCCTCTTTAATCATTGCTACAGTTTCTGGATCAGCTGACGGCTCTCATAAGCACTAAGAAGACCGGCCGACTGCTTGTCAAAGCCTGTATAACGAACAACAGCCGGGGTATAAAGGCGTTATTGTCGAACATAGACTATTGACTCTGCGTAAGGAAGTGATTTGCAAACACAAACACAGTTCACTGAGCTCTGCCAGGTGCATGTATTTACAGACTTTTTTTTTCTTTAATGCACGACGAAATTCATACTCTTCCACGCAAGTCTACTCTATAGTCGTCACCTTATGCACTTTCTAAAGCTCTTGTTTTTTCTCTCTTTCTCCCTCTTTTTACCCACTTTGGAAATCGATGCAAAATGCTTTATAAAAAACCAATACTCATCTCCCTGTAGCGCCTGCGGTCGTCCTTTCTCATATGGTCTTGCAATTCTTCCAGCTAGAATTTCACCATGCCCCTCCAGGCAAACACTGTTTTTCATCTGCACTTTTTTTAAAAAAGCAATTAAAATGCTGCCTGTTTTTCTTTTCTTCCTCCTCTCCCCCACCCGTCTCTCTCTCTCTCCATCTTTTCTCTGATACTCTCTCCCACATCCTCCTTTTCCTCTAAATCTCTGGCTGCGTTCACACAGCAGGGGAATATGGTTGTCAGTCTCATTCAGAGCAGTGAATACGGTTCAGTTTGATCATGAAAGAAAGAGACAAGCCATTTCTATAAGCAAAGCGACTGGATTTTGAGAGAGGGTTCAGTCTATGTGTGAGGTATGAAGGCGATTCTTCAATTAGAGGCACTTTTGACTACTTGAAATCTTGAAAAATGAAACTTCTTCGACCTATGATTCATCTGTGTTGAAATATTTATCACATGAATAAAGATCTGGCCTTGATCAACCTTCAGCTGGATTTGAGTTTACAGTGTGCTGGCGGTGACATTTTCACTTTTCGGAGAAAAAGATGGATTTCGAAAATTTGGCCTAACACAACAAGTTAGCTAGCAGTCAGTTAAGTAAAAAACTTAATAATGATATTTAATAAAAATAAATAAAAAATATAAATAAATAAATATATATATGTGTGTGTGTGTGTGTGTGTGTGTGTGATTTTTTATAGTTAAATATTGTTTATATAGGTTATATATAGACAATATTTAATTATTTAAAAAATCACATATTTTTATCTTTTACTTTACCTGCAATCATAACTGCAATCTTACTTTACTTTACTTACTTTAACTGCAATCCTAATATATATATATACAGTGTGTACGGAAAGTATTCAGACCCCCTTAAATTTTTCACTCTTTGTTAAATTGCAGCCATTTGCTAAAATCATTTAAGTTAATTTTTTT